CATTCAAGTTTTTTCTCATTCTCTAACGCCCAGTACGCCCTTATGTCATAGTGGCTTTATTGCTTTACGTTGTCTGAAATGATTAAAAAATAATTAAAAACCGATAACTTTTTTGTCTGCCATTATACTTTTACCTCTTCTTAGAAATACTTTTCCCTCCGACATGAAGTGGAAAGACTATATTGAATACATAGTTAGGTCAGCTGCCAAGAAAGTTGCTTCACTGTGTCGTGCGAAACATTTTTTCTCTCCAGTCTATTGTGCATAGCTATAAGTCTACCATTCATCCATGCTTAGAATAATGCAATTACATATGGTCCAGTGTCCCTGATTGAGTTGCTTAATAAATTCCAAAGAATCAGCAATATTATCGGTCATGACCTGGCGGCTCGGCTTCATTTCCTTTCCCACCGCTGTAAGGTTTCCGTCTTTTGACTTTTTTAAAATAAAATAGCACTTCCGGTTAGTGGAACACTCTTCCGGTTCCATGCTTTCCAGTCAACATTAATCTGCAAAAATTTAAATGTCATGTCCATCGCTATCTACTGTTTTTCCGATTAATCTTTCCGTTCATTATTAATGTTTCTGTTCCTAATTCTTCCACACCCTGTAATGGCTTAGTGGCTTTACTGCCTTTCATGGGGTGATACTGGTTAAAAAAAAATAAATAAGAGTATGATTATCACTAACATTCATTAACGGTCAGGCGAACAGAAATGACCCTTGAAGCAAGCAGGTCATTTTCAAGATTTATTCTACAGACGGTGATTGGTCGTTGAGGAATTTATGTCCGCTGCATGCACTGGTTAGACATTTTCACGCAGCTTTTTCAGTCCAGACTGCCTGGAACACTATTTGCCCGCATGTGCGGGTAAGATCTTGAACATGACAAGCCTAGTAGTTACAACTGTGTCATGTAACTGACGAGGCCTCCTTGGAACAGATAGATGCAACTGTATTCGGAAAAACCAATTGGTTAGATATTCTTATCAATGGATTGTCTCTTTCTTACGCTATGCGCTTGACCTTGAAATTGCGGATTACTGAAAAATGTTCAGTGCTTCTTGAATGGACAATAGGTCTCCATGTATTTCCACCAAGAACATTGGCTTCCCAGTTCAGATCATCGATCATATATACCTTAAAGGATTCCTTCAAAAGTCACGAAAGTGATTCTTTGGATTGTGCTGAAGATGACTTCCTTGGCAAAATTCACCATACAGCATATTTTGGGGTATGTTGTTGTTGACCAACCGTATATGACTCACCCACTAAAGTTTTTGAGGATAGATATGTGCTTCTACGATAACAGAAAGAACTTCAAATTAAAAATTTTAATGGTGAATTATTGTTCCGCTAATTGTTGATATGGTTTAATGGTCAAAGCATCGGGAGTAAATAGAACTGTGAACGTTCGAAATTTTTAGTTTATTTCTGGCACAACTAAGGAAAAACAGTGGTTTTATTTTTCCTCGGAAACGAAGATTTCAAACACGCATGCATATATATATATATATATATATATATATATATATCTTGTCTCTCTATGGATGACATTATAGTGTGTGTGCGTGTGTGTACGCGCGTACACAGGGTGTAATAGCAAGATTGTCCAAAACATGGAACAATATAATTATCCATCCAAACAAAATATTTAATATCTAAAATCCACTGAACTAACTGAGTTTTCAGATAAGACATTTAGCCATCTTGACACCATTTTCCATAGGAATCACTGAAAAAACCCATTGGAATTATTCAGCTAAAAAGAGTGCATGTTAAAATTGTTTTGTGTCAGCTCAAATGTCTTCCCAAATGAGCAATGGTGGGAGGAAAAGGATCATTCAAGCCTTTGCTAATGGTACCGATATTCATACTCCAGCTTCCATCTTCAAAGTCCATTCAAGAACCATCAAGTGAACGGTGAATAATTTTAAAAACGAAGCAACAAGAGAGCGGAAAACTGGATCAGGAGGTCACAACGAGAAGAGGCATCATCATTTCATCTTAGAGCTAAATAAATCAATTAGAAAAGATCCAACTCAATCCACAAGACGTTTAGCACGTCAGAGGAGTTTCAGCTATGACGGCCCAAAGGGCAGTAAAAAAAGAGAGTTGAAAATAAAATCGTAGGTAAAATCGGTGAAGCACATTGTTACTCCAGAACAAAAAAATTAGAAAGGGCGAAGATGATCCTCGAATATATGTATGTGTGTGTGAGAGAGAGAGAGAGAGAGACAGAGACAGACACACACTAGAATATGATAATATTACATAACGGTTAAGAGCTTAATTTAACAATTGGACAATTTTTCTCTTACACATATATATATATATATATATATATATATATATATATATATATATATATATAGCTCTGACTACTCGTAATCAAGGATACCTGTCTACTAGGGTGGCTAAACAACCCTATTGCAGACGCTTGCTCATTTGTGTTTATTCAACACCCACAGAGCCCACCTGTGGTTTATACTGCAACTATGCTGAGCAGACCTTAGTTACAGTTTCTGGGAAAGAGTGTGTTATCTAGTGTGTTCAACAGTTTGAACAAGCCGTCAGTCACGATGACTTGTGACTTCATGTTAGCACAACTATCGATGGCCTCCAAGGTTCCGTCTACCAGATTTCACTCACAAGGCTTGGGTCAACATGTGGTATGGTTTTCAATCACTTTCCGCTGGGATTGACCCCTCCAGGCTGATAAAATCAGGAAGCCTCCTTTCTGACAAATCAACCATAGTGAAATTCGAACACGGGTCTCGTGGTCAGAATGCGAACGTTCTAACCACTCGGCTACACATTTGATATTTGAGTGCGTGAAACCCGTGACGAAAATTCTATTTAAAATCTCGAAATAAATTAATCTTCTATAAATTCAATGCTTTTCAAAGAAAAAAAAAAAAAAAAAGAAAGGCCCAGAATATTCTACGAGGAAATGATTTGCATCCAACATGGCGAAATTGAAATATTTATATATGAAAGTTAAATTTAAAAGAAATCAATAGAATTTTAATTTGAATGACTGATACACTTGCATTTAAAAAATATTGATATTAAAGAAGTTTTGGGGGCATGAATTACTCAATTTATTAAAGCTTTTCCTCTTCAAAAATATGGAAAATTAATGCCATTTGAGTTTCTTTTATAATGAAGTGTTTTCAGGGCTGACCCTCCCAAATGAAAAAAAAAAACCAGCAAAAAATAGAGAATACTGATAGCTTATCACGAAGAGATTTTTTAAACCGGTACATATGGTGACCCTATTTTAAGTGAGAATTCTTCGTATAATTAAAATTAGTGGAATTTTTATGAAAATAGTCAACTGTTATTGTTGATAATCAAATATTAAATCCTTAGATTCATAAATCGTCAATGAAAAAGAAAATCGCACACTTTAGTCGCTTTTTTCTATTAATTTTCATTAACCGAAGTCTGACATTTTTGGTGCCTGCATTTGAAAAGTGACCGACCATTTCGGTGGTCGACTTCACTGTCCAACAAACATTCAAATCTGAATTTTTTTTTTTCATAAACATTTTTCTTCACCGCGTGATATTATGAAACCCTTCCTGGCGCACAATAATCTCTTTTCATAAAGAATGATGTGTTTTTGGATAGAGTCATTGTCGCTTGTTACAACACGTCTCATACAGTATGAGTCTTTTTTTTTATCGAAACCCTGATTGGATAGACGAGACACACCCGGAAAGTCAAAACATGCAATGAATGAAGAGAGTAGCAGAAATTAGGATCCTCGTCCAAAGAATACATACCAGAATACATATATACACATACATACATACACACACACATATATATATATATATATATATATATATATATATATATGCCTTTAAATTCTTTGAGAAACATAGGGCCGCAAGATAACGTTGCGGTTTCTTTAACAAGCCAGTTTTTAAGTAAGTAGATTGTTAGCCTACTGCACAATCCCCAACATGGAGGATCAAGTTTTGAATTCTCTTAGCCCAGTTGTCACCCAAGGCTAAATCTGTCTGTCCTGCTATTTACCCATAGCTAGTTGGGGGAGAAGAAGAGGATTCATACTTTTCCCAAGGGCATTAGTGAATAAAATGGATTGACTGGAATTCGAATTCGGCTCAACCCGAGCCGCTATACATTATTCCACCGTACCTCCTATAGAAATATAATAGAAAAATCAGAGTCTGATTATTTCTAATAATAATAATATCTCAGGATTTAAAAAACCCTAGGAAGGTTGTAGAAAACACCCTGAGTCTTGTAAAAACAGGAAAAACGAAAAAGCATCGAACTTGTAAAATTAATCTTTTCAGAATGAGTGAAATTGCGTACGATATTAATTTTACTTTACTTTTAGTATTTAGAAAATTATTTTGCTCTTTCAAAATCTAAAAAAAAAAAAAAATCTTTATATCTCGCTGATAGAATCGAAAGCAAAAAAAAAAAAAAAAAGCCTGTAATATCGTCTATTTTTATTCATTCTTTTACTTAGGCGTAAGAAATTTGTTTTAGGTAAGGTCCGTGAATCAGGACGTAATCCTCGACCTTGGGAGAGATGAAATCATAACTTCAAGCAGACACATTAGTACAAATTGAACTGCATCAGATTGAATTTGAAATTTTCAATTCCATTTCCCATGTTGATAACCGGGGCATCTCCGTTTCAATGACAAAATATATTCGTCCGATATTATTCAGAGGTCAATTCAATAGCAAGGTCAATCGATATTTATGAACATAATTGATTAATTTTCTATCGCTTATCAACTCTTTGTAGGTTAATTAAAGCCTGAAAATCTTTTTAGATTATAATAACTTTTGGGGAGGATAATAGTTTAGTCATATAATTATAATTAACCCATAGCTAGGGGAGAAGAGATAGATTCGGTTCTTTCCATAAGTGTATTTCCACGGAAATTTGAATTCGGCTCGCCGATTAACAATTCAGAGCCATTACCCATCACATCACCAGCACATTTAAGCTTACAGCACATGGTATTCTCAAGCGGTTACACATCTAGGTACTATCCAGGCTCAACGTTGCTTAACTTCAATGATTGTACGGAAACTGGTTTTCAACGTGGTGCAACTGTAAGATATCGATATAATTAAAAATATTAAATTACCAAAATTTTTCAAAATGGCCGTAAGGGAAATGGGGACGAAATTGTTTTTACATCAGTTATGTGTTAAATAGACGGGGGATCCCTTGCTTTGAGAAGAGAAAGAAAACTATTTCAAACCAAGGAGAAAGCAACAGGAATGCAGCTCGATGTCTTGAGAGTTCACCGTGGCGAACTATAACCGCCGACATACTGAAGGGGGATGTGGTTTTTAAAAGAAGTTCATTGACATGCAGTCCTCTTCGTGACACAGTCATTCAACATAAAGACTATTTGACCCATACACTTCATTACCGCAAGACGACTTCTACAATTTCAATGATAGAGAACATATAAGGAAAATATCTAAGATTTTAAACAAAATTGGAGTGAGAGCCTTCTTTTCTCAACTATCGAGAGTTAAATTGTTTTCTAGGACACACTCACTTGATACAAAAAATGTCTACAACTTTTGCTATATTTGCCTTTTTTGACGTTCACTAATTTATATTATCTGATTAGACATCGTTTTTTGGCCACTTTCTTTAAAAAAGATCTTTGCCCTCCTCATAGTTTTTCACTTTTGTCATTTATTTCTTTTCAACCCCACATCACTTACTATAAGCGCCATCTTCTGCCACTTTCATTGGAAAGTGTGTTACAAAAGGCCGTTGCCAGCAAGTTGCAGAATAGCAAATTCTAGATGCAGTTCAGTTCGATTTTATCATCAGAGACGCAAACAGGCTTCGCCTAGTCAACCAATAACAGCCCAACCCTCGAGGTTAAAAGCACCGGGAGACACTATTGCTTCTGTCTTTCTTGCTGTTTTGATGTTATGGACGGCAGTAAATGCATTGCCTTACGGTTTCTATTAAAGATGTTAAAGTAGAAACAGAAAAAGATTTTGTTTGTCTCAGTAAAGAGGTTTCTTTTAATGATAGATTTTGAAGTGCGTAAAGGAGTCGGAATCTTACCTGGCAGGCAAGGAAGTTGAATAGTGAAGGGGAAAAACAGTGCGCTGGGAAAAACTGACCCAATCTAAATTTTATATATATATATATATATATATATATATAGGCGTGAGGATAGAAAAAAGGCAGAATTATTAACGAACTTCATCTTAAATATTTAACTGTAAATTTATTACATTTATGTGTTAAAGAAATCAACCTTTGAGAGCCCTTGCCGCTTTGAAAGACACTTTAATAAGCGATAGGCTTTATTGTTTTCAATGTGACGTCCCTTCAGAACGTGGGCGATCGCAGTTCTCCACGACTTCCTGTCGTTTGTAGCACTTAATAAAGTATATCTTCTTATCCCACTTCTGCCAACCATTTTAGCTCATATATATCATGAGCCACTATCCGCTGTCCCTCTTGCCTTCAATGTCCCGTGAGTGTCAAATTTTCTATCCTCTCTTTCCTCATGACGTGCTCTAGAAAAAGTTTACTGTCTTTTTCTGATGCTACATGTAAGTGTTCTTTTTGTTTCCATTTTCTTTAAAACTTATGTTCACGGATTCACTCCATAGCATCATCATCCTTCTGTAGAACCGCATTTATGTTGCTTCAAGTCTCTTCTTCATTTGTGAGGTTTCCCAGCATTCACTGCCATAGAATAGGACATATATTACATAACAATTCAGTATTCTTTTCTTTGTTTCCCATTAAATTTTCCAGTTTCACACTATTTTCGCTATACAAGTGCGCCTTCGGAGTTTGATGTCACGTTTTCCATATTTAAATATCAATGAACTGTAAAACACTTCATAGATATTTTTTAAAAAATCGTTTAATTTTGGTATCTCCAATTTGTAATTCGCATGTTGGGCTGCCTTTTATGAGCCAACATTTCGGAGAAACATCCTCCAGCGGGGAGGAAGAACTCAAAATTCTTAAAGATTGTTGTATAAAAACAGTAAATAAGGGATGAAAAGTTTTACTTTATACATTTTTATTTTAAGCTTTTTATTTATTTTACACGAATATTTACAGTATTTGATAGCATATAAAGTTCCGCCTCTATTTACATCGAAATTTAGAGTATTATCTTTTGTAATGTCAAAGAATACGCGTTGTCACTTTCGTAATGCTCGTTGTAGTAGAGACTTTGTAATCGCAGATACAACTTACAGTAACGACGTTGAGCAATTCTGGTGTCAGACGCCTTTGAATAACAATCGCACTAATAGTACTTGCTCGATAATACTCGCTCGAATACTAGCCACCGAATAGAGTAGGGAAAATACTAGCCACCGAATAGAGTAGGGAAAATACTAGCCACCGAATAGAATAAAAATACTAGCCAATAATAGGGAAAATACTAGCCACCGAATAGATAGGGAAAATACTAGCCACCGAATAGAGTAGGGAAAAATACTAGCCACCGAATAGAGTAGGGAAAATACTAGCCACCGAATAGAGTAGGGAAAATACTAGCCACCGAATAGAGTAGGGAAAATACTAGCCACCGAATAGAGTAGGGAAAATACTAGCCACCGAATAGAGTAGGGAAAATACTAGCCACCGAATAGAGGGAAAATACTAGCCACCGAATAGAGTAGGGAAAATACTAGCCACCGAATAGAGTAGGGAAAATACTAGCCACCGAATAGAGTAGGGAAAATACTAGCCACCGAATAGAGTAGGGAAAATACTAGCCACCGAATAGAGTAGGGAAAATACTAGCCACCGAATAGAGTAGGGAAAATACTAGCCACCGAATAGAGTAGGGAAAATACTAGCCACCGAATAGAGTAGGGAAAATACTAGCCACCGAATAGAGTAGGGAAAATACTAGCCACCGAATAGAGTAGGGAAAATACTAGCCACCGAATAGAGTAGGGAAATAGTATTGATTAGAAATGGTGATCCGTATAGTAATAGAGGATAGAATAGAAATGCGATCCGAATAGTAAAAAAGGATAGGCTATTAACAGAGATCGTTAGTCGTCAGCTACTTCCGACATATATGAGTTTCCTCTATGGTCACGTGGTCTACTTAATAATGGGATCGCCTGTGTTTGCTCACTGGCGATCTATGTTCAAACTCACCTTATTTCCTATAGAACTTAAAGCAAGTCATGGTTAAAAATCTCGTAACCCATGATATTTTTCTACTAATATTCAGTCAATACAAGACCAAAGAGTCAATTAAGTTAAAAGGTTACTATTATCTTATAGAAGCGTAAAAGGCAAGAAATTCGTGGGGCTATGCAGGAAAGATAATGGTTAGCCCTCGTCTTGAAAAGGTTCATATTGTAGCGATTGTGGAAAAATCCTACTGTGAGTATCCCACTGTATTTCTTGGGAACAAACTGTTCGTGTGGAACTTTTTACTAATGAAATACGAACGGGAGGAGTGAATTCATTCTTTTGGCATGGCGGGTCACAGTTGCAAAGGTCAGTGGGGGGCCAAGGAAATATATATATATTTAACCGAAATAGGTCCAGGTTTGGTCCCTCCCCCCAATACTAAGTACGATTGAAAGAAATATTAAATTAAACCCTCTCTAAACTCGACCATGTCTCTCACACCAGTCCTCGCTACTCTCTCTGTTAAATTACATAAACTTAATACTACCCGTCTTAATACTACCCGTCAAAAGTGTGAATTTTCATTTCATCTTTCGTTTCATTTTTTGGAAGTGTTATCTGATGATCTAGCGTCCTTTAAAAGGCCTCTGGTGAAATAAATTATTATAATGGAACCTTAAAGTGGTCTGTTTTTCTTTAAAATTATATATATATGGAAATTAAAAAAAAAAAAAAGAAAAAAAAACTTCCTTTCGTCTATTAGACACATCAGAATATAAATATATTAAATACATTAAAAAAAAAAACAAAAAAACCTGTCTGTATCTCTGAGATGAGGTATTATGATTACTTGTATTATTTACATTATTCAGGCTGTTATCCTCATACACAGATGTCCTCAAGGACACATGGCCCAGAGGATAAAGACGTTGGTTAGATCTAGTGACTCGACCCAAAGAGTTGAGAGTTCAATACCAGAAACTTGGAGAGTTAAAGGGAAATAACTGAGACATCCCCAAGAGGCATGGCACGTGGAACTAGAATAATCTATCCCGGAGAACGAAATAAAGGGTTCGTTTCGAAATTCCAATCACCTAAAGAGGGCCGGAGCGTACAACGACCAAAACGTTGTGAATATGGCAATGAAGATGAGGATTAATGTTAATAATACATTAAAATACATATTCAAAGAAACAATAGACCATTTTTTAAGAACAGGCCTGATGAAGTGTTGCGGTAAACTGGGAGGCCATAGTATTTTTTTTATCAAGCTTAGTTTTAGCACATGGGCACTAGTATCGAGCATTCAAGTTAGGATTGAACTCGTTCCTCATTAATAATAGTCAACCCAACTAGCTCGATAAACATTGTTACCCGCATGCTAAGGCGCCGTGTAGGTCGAGTTTTGGTGACTCTTTGATTATACCTATATTGTGCCAATGTCAATCTATTTGGTTATTAAAGCGACAACGTTCGTTCGAATACAAATTTTTAGTGGAAAAATAAAAATCCCTTGTTCGTGAGGGCAGAATAAGGTGGAAAAAGAAAATCCAAGAAAAATAAATGTATAAAATGGAAAAAACATTGTAGGAAAAAACTTAAACAGAGAGGAAAAATACGTTTACTTAGGGAATGAAAAGAAAAATGTCGGTTTTGGAAAAAAAAGATAAAAATGACTAGTTTGAAGTGACAAGAGAACAGGAAAATGATTGAAGGGAGGCTAAAGAAAAAGATCTAACAATAGAAAGTAAAAGTGAAACAAATAGCTTTTAAGGATCACTGCGGAAATGCCCAAATGTTTACGTCAGAGTTGTCTAAAAATAGAATTAAAAGGTTCAGGGCAAACAGTGTAAAGGAATGGAAGAAAAAAATGAAGCCTAAGATGGCGATATGGACGTTTGTAAAAGGCGCGCAGATGATTCGAACTTTCCGCGTTTAAATCATCG